AAATCAGGAATTTCAAAAGCTGTGACTCCTATTATAGCAACCTGGATTCAGTGACCATGCACATCAGTAATTATTCCTATTCCTGGGTGTGAGGTTGGTTTTTTGTTTTTTGTTAAATATATACATCATCATTTTCAAGTTAATCAAACACTCCTCTAGAAGCCTTACATTTTTAATTTCTTCATGGTTATGGCCTTGATGGCTCATCCTTTCACAGATCCAAGGCCAGAAAAGACCTTTGTGATCATCGATTCTGACCTCCTGTACAGCACAGACCACAGAACTTCCCCAAAAGAATTTCTAGAGTGTATCTTCTATAAAAACATACAATATTGATTTTAAAAATGGTCATTGATGGAGAATCCACCACAATTCTTGGTAAATTGTTCCAATGGTTAATTTCTCTCACCATTAAGAATGTATGACTTGTTTCCAGACTGAATTTGTCTAGCTCTAACTTCCAGCCATTGGATCATGTTACAGTGTTCTCTACTAGATTGAAGAGCCTGTGATTAAATATTTGTTCCTCATCTAAATACTTATAAACTGTAATCAAGTCACCCCTTCACCTTCTCTTTGTTCCGCAAAGCAGATTGAGCTCTCTGAGTCTGTCACTATAAGGCAGGTTTTCTAATCCTTTAATCATTCTTGTGGCTCTTCTCTGAACCCCCTCCAATTTATCAACATCCTTCTTGAATCGTGGGCAACATCCTTCATGAATTGTGGGCCACAGTAGTCCAGTAGCGTTCACACCAGTCCCAAATATAGAGGTAAAATAACCTCTCTCCGCCTACTCAGGATTCCCCTCTTTATACATCCCAGGATTGCATTAGCTCTTCAGCCACAGAGTCACACGGGGAGCTCATGTTCAGCTGATTAGCCACCATGATCCCCAAATCTTTTTCAGAGTCACTGCTTTCCAGGATAGAATCCCCTATCCTGCAAAGTATGGCCTACATTCTTTGTTCCTAGAGGTATACATTTAGCCATAGTAAAACACACATTGTTTGCTTGTGCTTAGTGTACCAAGCAATACAGATCACTTGGAATCCGTGATCTATTCTCCTCATTTATTTATCACTCCCACAATGTTTGTCATCTGAAAACTTTATCAGTGATTATTATGTTTTCTTCCAGGTCACTGATAAAAATGTTCAATAGCATAGTGATGATATCAGGTTAGTTTGACAGGATCCATTTTCCACAAACCCATGTTGATTTACATTAATTACGTTACCATGCTTTAATTCTTTATTAATTGAGTCCCATATCAGCCACTGCATTATCTTGACCAGTATCGATTACAGGCCTGTAATTACTTGGCTCATCTTGTTTACCCTTTTAAATATTGGCACAACATCAGCTTTCTTCCTGCCTTCTGGAACTTCCCCGGGTCTCCAAGATTTACTGAAAATCAACACGAATGGTCCAGCAAGTTCCTTATCCAGCTCTTTTAAAACTCTTGGATATGAGTTATCTGGACCTACTGATTTAAATATCTATATGTTCTATTAATGCAGTACCTGGAGAACTTCCATAGCTGCTCATAATTATTATGTTGAATATTAACCATATTTTGTTGGGATAGAAACATTTCCCTGGAGCATTTTGCAACTCAATAACTGTAGAAATCTTAGTGCATTAAAACCAGAAAATGAAATTGTCTAATTTTCCAAGATGAAGAAATGAGGTCAGATTAAAGGAACAATAAATTAAATTAGATATTTCAAAATCTTTGTTTTAATAATCTGCAGAATCAGTAACCGATAGGGATTTTTTTTTTAATATTATAATGTCCCATTAAAAGTTCACCTGCTTTCCTTCCCTCCCCAACCAAAGCTGAAGAGAGTTAATTTAAAGCTTAATGCCAGCAGGAAATACGTTTTTTTACCCACGCATGGCCAGTGCTGCTGTTACAGAAATGATTGGGGCCTGAGGAACAGAGGCAGCTTTAGCATATGGATGTTAAGGACCAATGGGAGCATCATACAAGGAGTTTATTTGTACAGTGTCTTGCACACTGAGGTCCCTGTGCTCTGTCTGACTGTCCCATTTCAGTGGAATATCAAATATTGTTTTCTATGCCAGTCTAGCTTCAGAGGTAACTTTGCAGCTGTGTATGCACATGCATGTTATTACAAGGCAACTAACCAAAGCATTTCTCTGTTCTCATTAGCTTCATCTATCGGCAGTAAAATTGGCAGAGCTACATAGTGACCTCAAAATACAAGAAAAGGATGAGCTGAGCTGGAAAAAGCTGAAGGCTGAAGGGCTTGATGAAGATGGAGAAAAAGAAGCCAAACTTAGACGCAATTTAAATGGTAAGGAATAACTTTGCTGAAGAGGCCAGAATTGTCACTCGGTACCTAAAGTTAGGTGTCAACATTTATTTTTAGGTCATTAGATAAATGGCCTGACTTTCAGAGGCAATAAGCACACAAAACACATATTGAAGACAGTGGGAGCTGCCAGGGCTGGGCACAGGTCCTACAGTGGAATGAGATTCCTAGCTTTAGGCACCTAGGGTTTGAAAACTTTGTCTCAGAAAAAGCACAGAACAAAATCAAACAGCATTGCAACTTCATTGATAACTTGCTTTTCATCCTGTTGATGATTTTATTTATTCCATTTATTTTTAGACACTCTTTCAAAATAGAAGTTCTCTTGACTTCTGAAATTGAGCTATTATATTGTGTATAAAATCTTCATCTCGATTTTGCACCTGCAGAAATTGAGGCCAGTGTCTGAAAATATGGCCCTATGACTTGCCTGAGGTCACTTGGAGAGTCAGTTGCAGCGCCTTAGTTAGACCCTCCTAATTCCCAGTTTTGTCATCCTTCCTCCCCAATATGCTCACTCTGAGGCTATCCCTCAGGCTGTTCTGGGGACAGTGATGGCTTCTGAAGAGGGTGCTGCTCAGTGCCCTTCTCCTAAAGGGGTTATAATGGTGACTCAGAGAATTTGAGTTTGCAGGAAAAGTATAGTGTGCATCATGTGAAGATTTAAAGACACGGCCAGGACTTGGGAGGCCTGACCTTGCAACTGACTAGCTGTGCGAGGACGGACTCTGTCCCTATTTTGCAGATAGGGAACTGTGCCACAATTACTCCTAATTAACAGTGTGTTGAGCATTGATTAATGTTGCAAAACTCTTGGAGGGTCTCTGTAGGTGGCATAGAAGTGCTGATGGTATATTGGTAGTATTCACGTGTTACATCCTGCCCCAAAATCATCCTCCATTCCATGAAGCTTTTATTTTACGGTAATTTAAGATTTGTAGTCAGTGTGCTTTGAGGTCAAATAAACTATTTTAGCTATTCTGTCTGGACACACACAGTTTAATTGCTATCGCTGTTAAGGATATTGGAATGGAGTCCTTCAGAGCAAAGGAGTCTGCCCCTCAGTAGCCTGAACAATCTTTAACCTTAGAAATCTGAATGCATTAGCGGTGTCTCAGTAGTTCAATGCCATTGCAAATTCCCAACAAACTGATCAGCAAAGAATGACATTGAGTAGGATGTTTATAAGAATGTTATGTTTTCCTTAGCTCTCTTTGAAATCATATGACTTAGTTGGTCATCAGTTGCATACTGAACAAACATACAGAAATTCATTTACAATGAAGGAAAAATATTAATAATGTCTTACAGTGATTGCTATTAAAGTCAATGCTTGGCACTAGCTACTATATGGTTAATAGCTATTTCTTATTCTAACGATTGCTATGGGAGGTCTGTGGCAGATGCTGCCCTTTTGATAGTAACTACTGTAAGTGCTATGTCGTCTTTTTAACTGGGACACACTGGGGAGTGAATTTCTGTATCCCATTTCAGTATGTGCTGAATGAAAGTGACTTTGCAACTTCAAAGCACTGTGTGAAACTGACATTTCTGTGGACAAAATGGGCTAGGTGCTTTGCAGACAATTCAGACGACAAACACCTTACCTTGAAGATAGTCTTTTTTTTGTTTGTTTGTTAATGTATAGACTCGTGGAAAATAAAAGGTGAAAATGGAGCTGTTTAGCAAGTATCTTGTTCCATGCTTTTTCTTTGATCTGGTTTGTATGGTATTTTATTTTTGTTAGCTTTCTTCAGGGAAGATCCAGGATTGATGGGCCTCATGGTAGATGTGTGTCTTAAGGAGAGACTCAAAGGAGAGGGCAGAGATGTAACGCCATGCTCTTGGGTGGGTCATCAGTAAGGGGATCAAACCTGGGACCTCTGGATCTTAAAGCATGAGCCTCTGCTGCCTGACCTAAAAGACCCAGCTCTGTTAGCCAAAGCTATAGCTGGCTCATCCACTTCTATATGTGGCCCTGCTACCAGTAGAGGAAGATAGAACACCTCATTGAGTGGGCATGGATTCCACAGACTCTCAGGAAAGCGGTTCCAGGGGGGTTAAGGGGAACCATCTCCTATTGGTTCTAATGTTTCTTGTTTTTCACTTACAGTAATTATGACTAAATATGGAATGAATGGAAAGAAAGATGCCCAACTAGTAGATACCAATTACATTAAAGATGGCACAGAAAGTGATGTGCTAGATGATCCAAGACTGGAGAAATTATGGAGCAAGGTGTGTTTATTTTCTGGACATTTCAGTGTATGAAGTAAATGTTCATTCAAGTGTATGTTTAAGTTTTCTAGAAACCCCTGACTTGGACTGAGAAGCTTTAGAACTCTGTTTCCAAACACTGTGCCAGGTGCTATGACATGTTGAGTGCCCTCACCTTCCACCAAAATCATTGGGTGTTGAGGGTACTTCTCTTCTCAGAGGATCTGGTCCATTGTACCTGTTACACCCACTATATCTGGGTGAAATCTTGATGACAGTGAAGTCAATGGGAGTTTTGCTAATGCCTTTACAGGGGCCAGGATTTCACTCTGTATGAACATTCAGGGATACAGCTGTGTACCTTGGGTTTGGTTTTGTTTAAATGGCTAAACTTAATTAGAAATATTTCATAGAATTATTTAAAAAAACAATTATAAAGGATTTTTTTCACTTGAAAATCCCACCCTGTAGTGTTCGTGAGTGAAACCTTCCAGAGTTCGCGCTAGTGCCTGAAAACAAGAACTGTTCCAGTTTGGGCAGTAACAACAGACTGGAAGAACCTGCAAAAAGGAAATAATTAGTAAAAAGTAGATTTGTTTTTTAAATTCTTTGCTTTATCAATTGCTTATCACGGTGGTGTAAGTAAAACAGCAAAGGAAGTTTTTTTATTTTTGGTTTGGTTGGGTTTTTTTTAATAAAATCAAAATGAACCTGACAGTGCCCTTCTTTGAGAAATGGCAACAACAACAAAATCACTTGGAAGAATTCCCCACACAAAATTTGAGCCTCTGGCTCTGTACAAATATCAAAAGATTTCACTTTTAACCTGTGGGAAGAAAAACAGAGCACCATCCATCCTCCTACCAGGGAAGCACATCGAGTGCCTCTCTAACTGCGAATAGCTAGTACAATGGGAAACAGCTTGGTGCAGAGCAGGGACACGACACACAGTACGGTATTTACTTGCCAATAGAATGAGAGCTCTTGAATAGATGTTCTCCTTATGTGTCAGTCTAAATCCCTAGTGGAAACAAACCCTATACATTCAGGTGTGCAGTTCATGTCTCTTACATCAATAACTGACTGATTGCTTCCTAAGGAATGTGTGTGACAGGGATATTAGGCTCTACAATAATACCAATAATAATAAATAACAATTTTCATCATGTCTCTGGATATTTGGTTGGTGAGATCCTGGCCCCATTAAAGTTAACGGTAAAGCTCCCGTTGAATTCAGTGAGGACAGGATTTCAGCCCAAGTCTATGTTCTGCCCTAATATTGAGACACAATGAGACATAAAACGAAGAGATTTTGAAGGGAAGCTTGACCTAATCATTTTTTTTTTTTAAATGTGAAGGGAATTTTATTTGGCAAGTGAGTGTATGTAGCATCACTTGGCCTCGGAAATGAAAAAAGATTATAGTTTCTGTCTCGTTCATATTTCTTTCAGGCCAAGACCTCTGGGAAGTTTTCCGATCAGGAGCTGGATAAGCTATGGCGGGAATTTAAGCATCACAAAGAAAAGATTCACGAATATAATATCCTGTTAGAGACTGTGAGCAGAACAGAAGGTGTCTGAATGTTTGTCTGATGTTTCCAGTGCAGTGCAGCCCTCTCTCTGCCGATCGCTCAGTTGGTTTAAAGTATCTTTTAAAATCCTAAAGACGGATTGTTAGGTTTATATTAGGATTGCTTTGCAGATGCTGCCATTCAGATACTTGCAGGGCACAAGTCTGTATCGTCTGCCAAGAATCTCTATAGCTAATGGAACCGTTGCTGTTCTTTGTTTTATAACACCTGCGTGTGTTTCAGTGAGCAAGGAGATTGTCAGCTTAGCTAAATAAATTCATTATGGCTTTTGGGAAAATATCAGCAAGTGCTGAGCCCCTGTTCTAGTCGTTGGGCCCTGATCCAGTGGAAAATAGGTCCGTGGAGGCGCCCAATGTGCAAGCAGGGGGGATCAGATCTGGGTTCTAGCTGAGGAGGAAGGATGGAGTTACGGCTAGAGCAGTGAAGAGCTAGGTTCTTCACAGCTAAGGTCTGTGCTGGACCCAAGAGGATGGGAGCAAAGGGGGCTTTATGCCACTTTGTGCTACCTCCAGCTAAGGCTACCAGAGGTCAGCTTGCTGCCTGGCACGCCACACCTGGCACAGGTTAGGACACCACCTGAGGCTGCTCTAACTTATCCCTGGCTGCTAACAGCCCCTCTGGGGCATTCCAGCAGCCTTTTTAGCAAGGTCTCAGAAGTGTTCCGCCCATATTCCTGTTCCCTAGGGCAATGCTGTTGTGCTGCTGTAGGGATTTTTCAGGAAATAGGGCAATAGAATTCTGGATCTTCTTATTGACATTGTTGACCTGATTTATGTATTATATATGATAAAATATTTCTGCACTGCTCCTGTCCAAAGCACGTAGATTGAGAAGCAAACACTCTTAAAAATCAGTGTTATTAAAGTGCTCTATTTATGCTAATTTACTAGTGGGTCATGTGCTGATAAGATCTGCGCCCCAACTGCTCCCATCCAACTTGCTGGAATTTGCAGGTACTTCTGTCCTCTCGGAATTTGGCCTATTATGAATTAATGTTTGTATTTTGATAACAGAAATCCACAAAAATATGATCAATCCATCTGAAGAGGACCAATTCAAAGAGGAAATCTTGCATGGCAAACACACAGAACTCAAAGACAAAATGCGAAGCATCAATCAAGGGCTTGATCGTTTACGTAAAATCAGCCACCAAGGATATGACCCAGCCAGTGGTATGATTCACTCTGTTTCACATTCATTTGTAATCAGTTTTATGAGAAGTCAGTAGGTAAATAACCAGTTATAATCCAAAGGAGCTTTGTACAAAGTGCTGACAAACAGACATGGGGTATTTAAAGGGACGCATTAGCCTATTCTGTTTAAGTGCTGATTTTACAGTCCAAGTACCCTGTTTGTCATCTACAGCAGTGGTTCTCAACCCGGGGTCTGGGGCCTCCTCGGGGGGAGCTCGCGAGAAGGTTCCAGGAGGTCCACCAAGCATGGCCAGTGTTAGACTCACTGGGGCCCATGGCAGAAAGCCAAAGCCCCTCTGTATGGGGCTGAAGCCTAGGGCCCTGAGCCCTGCCACCCGGGGCTGAAGCCAAGGATGAGCAACTTAGCTTCTCAGGGGCCCTTGTGGCATGAGACCCCAAGCAATTGCCCTGCTTGCTACCCCCTACCATCTCCCTGGCTTTTATATGCAGAAAACCAGTTGTTGTGGCACAGACGGGCCGTGGATTTTTTGATAGCATGTTGGGGGGGGCTCAGAAAGAAAAAGGTTGAGAACACCTGGTCTACAGAGGCCCTTCATATAGGACAGTAAACAGGTTCTCATGATGCTTCCATTCCTTGTGCCTTTTGGTTGAGTGAGAAAGTGGAACAAACCATTGTCCCTGAAAATGACCAGGAGGTTTGCCTCTGATTCTCTCCAAATCTGCATGTTTCTCAGAGATCTATGGGGTCTCAGGGCCAACTCTGCAGAGACCCTGTGGGTACTCATTCCCTTTTGGCTACTTAGAGCTTTTCTGCAGCATGGCTCCTGTAATGCCATGCTGCCAGAGTTGCCCCAGTGGCTGCTGCCACTGGAACTTCCCCTTATGGGGAAGGATGTTTTTTTCACAATGGAGCACTGATTCTGATTGAACCTTCTAGGCGTTATTACAATACAAAAAATAAATCCTAATAATCATTAGGGGAAACCATCACCATTTCTGGATACCCGGGGAGGGTTAAATGCAGGGAATAGGATGGGGGACACTCCTGTCTTCCAAGCCCACCCAACAGAAACCAGCTGGGATTTCATTTCATTTACCATGAAGGCAGAGAGGGTAATGGAGACCATAAACAAGGTGTGTGTGTGTGTCTCCTTTTGGTTTTGTTTTGTAAAGGTCCCATATCTACTATACTAAACATCTAAGTAAAATATCAGGATTTGTCCTCCATCTAGGTAGACCTGCTCAGTAATGCAGTGCCGGTGTATGCCCATTTCTCATGTAAAGCCATGTGGTGTTGCTGTTAATTAGTCATGTTAACATGGTATCAAATATTAACAACTTAAGTATTAAAATAATTATGTTTTGTGTCTGTTGGTTTAGAATTTGATGAACCCAGAGTGATTGACTTATGGGACATGGCCAAATCAGCCAACTTTACTGAGAAAGAACTCGAATCATTTCGGGTAAGATAGAATTTAGATAAGGGTTTTCTCTTCAACAGTAAGAAACGCTATGTACACTACGTTCAGGATGTGGTAATGCACCCTTTTCCCTCCTGTTATTCTTCATTCACCATGATCAAGAGCCAAACTTGGGACCCAATCTTGCAAACACTGAAGCATTTGTGTAACTTTACTTATGTGAGTAGCTCCATGGTCTGTCGTGGAACCTCATAGGAGTAAAGTTACGCATGCACCTAACTGTTGATAACAGTGGGCCCTTATTTTGTGCAAATAGATCACCTCTCCAATCATCTTCTAATCCCCAATTGTAATTAATGCTTTGGGAAATAATGGAAAGGATGGAAACTAAAACCAAGAAACATCAGCTAGCTAACTTTCCCACCAGGCTGTTATTTTGCCCCTTGTGGGAGGGTTACTTTTTGGTCATTTCATGGGAAGGAGCAGTGCACAGCTAACCCAGAGAGGCACAGCGATCCTGTTCAGTGTGAATGCCTTTTTTGAGAAATGAATTACTGTGGTGTTCGTGCTTGCATTTTTTGGCTTTTTTAATGATGAAATTAAAAATATCTCTATTTAGTTTATACCATGCCTGCTTGTCCTGTTTCCCTGACTGCTTGGGGACAGCAATATCTTGCATTCGTGGCTGGGGGAGCTGTGCCCTCAAGTCTGCTTCTGAATTTTTATCTGTGTATTTATAAAGTCCCCATCATAACTCCCCTGGGAAGTATTACTGTGCCCACTTTACAGATGAGTAAGTAAGGCACAGAGAGATTAAACTACCTGCCTAAAGTCATGTGCAAAATCTGGCAGAGCCTGTAATTGAACCTAGATCTCCAGAGTCACCATCCAGCCCACAAGACCATTCTTCCTTAGAAACATGGAGTCTGATTTCCACACTCAGTTAAACATGTTTTAATTACATTGACCTCTGTGAGCTGTGGATCAGGCATACACAACAGTGGGAGAGGTAGATCAGGCCCATGGCATCTGTCCCTGGAATAAGGAAAACTCCCGTTTTTTCCACCAGTAGGATCTAAAATAAGAATATGAAACAGTTTAGAAACAGACTGAATGGGCAGAAACCTTCCTTTAGGGAAATGCCATGCACCAGTGCTGAGATCTGCTGCTGTCAGCAGCACAGCACATGCTGGGGTATCGTCCTAGAAAGAGGAAGGTAAGGATTACAGGGTGCACTTCACGGATTTATAATGTGGGAAGAAGAGAGTTAAAGGTAGAAATTTGCTGAAATTCTTGTTTCAGTACTCAAGAGCTAACGCTAAGGTCAGGCCTTCATGTTTGTTATTTTGGCTGATCTCCTGTAAAGCAAACCGCACAAGGTTTTATAAGGAAAGGTGCTGCGTTGGCACATCATCCAAGGAAAATAGCTTGACCAGATTAGCAACTTCAGGCAAACCCAGTGCTAAAATATAGTGGCACGTAGTGTGTAAAACAGAATAGAATGTTAACAGGCTAATCCTTTCCCTCTGCAGTCGAACTGTTGAGAGGAAAGCGAGACCTTTGCTTCTAAAGCTGGAGGAGACCCATTAGAGTGGCAAAGGTTTTTTGTTTTGTTTTGTTTTTTTCCCACCAGCTCAGAGTGAAAACTCTGCCAAGCTAGACTCGAGTCAAACTAGTGTCAAACATTGTGTAAGGGTTTGTCTACAGTACAGCTGGGAGCAAGCATCACAGCTCTGGTAGACAAACTTGTGTTAGCGGGGCTCACACCAGCATGCTAAAAATAGCAGCGTGGACGCTGCAGCAGAAGCCAAGGCTTGGGCTTGCCACCCGCACTTGGGCGGTAAGGTTGGTCCTAGCTTGAGTGGCTCGCCTGGGCTTCCGCCAATGCCGCAACATCCACACAGTTAGTTTTAGCATGCTAGCACAGGTCTGTCTAGCCAGACTGGCAGGCTCACTCCTAGCTGCAGTGTAGACATGCCCTACGTGAAATAAGTGAGGTGGATTTCAGTGTGGGTCTTTGTGCACAGGTGTTACGTCGGAGAGGGAACCATCACCATAATTGGCACAACAGTTGGTATTGCTGGTAGTGAGGGCCAGCCCCGAAAGTTCATGGAGACTAAAGTTCCTCTCGAACAGTGGTCCAACAAGAGCCTAACTGGGTGTTGAGGGAAGCTTGCATTTTTGCTGCCTCTGCCACAGTATACATGAGATCTTCTCTGTGGATAAATCCGAGATGTCATTGATGTCAACCTGGCCCCTTTCAGCACTAGTCGAAGAGGTTGTCACTTTGTTCTATTCCAGGCACATCACAGCTTGTGGTAAAACAATACAGCAAATCAGGGGATGGCTGGGCTGCCAATCAGAAAAGAGCTAATTCTGAGCATTAAGGGCCTGATATTGAAAAGTGACCTTTGTAAGAATGCAAAAAACGCATTGTAGAAACTTCTAGGCTTTTCCATGGTGCTTGTCACCATAGTATCATTGCGCCTCTCAGACATTAATGGCCTCTATGACGCTTGTGCAGTAGATTGATGTTTGGACGCTTTTCTTCAAAGCTGAATTTCTGGATGATTATGATGTTCCATTACCCCAGCGGTCTTAAGAAGCAGAGAGCTGGAAGGGCTTTCAGTGTGTGACGCTCATTAAAATAGCATTAGGAATGTGCTGCAGGGAAAGAGAGGGAGGAAACCTCGGAAAGAAGACCGCATTTAGCCTGAAATGTGTATTCATTGTTCTAGGAGGAGCTGAAACACTTTGAAGCAAAAATTGAAAAACATCATCATTACCAAAAACAGCTAGAGATTTCCCATCAGAAACTGAAGCATGTGGAGGGAACGGGCGATAAAGATCATCTGAGCAGAAACAAAGAGAAATATGTCATGCTAGAAGAAAAGACTAAAGAATTGGGATACAAGGTCTGTACAAATACGATGTGTTGTGAAGTTTCTATATGCCGCCAGTGTAGGTTTAACTCTGCTAGAGGGAATTTGGATTTTCCTGTGCTTATTATCCATGCTATTGACTTATTCGTTATTAGTCATCGTTTGAATTACAATAGTGATTTGAGGCCCTATCATGGGAGCTGGCCCTTTAAGGGGAGTCAGAGACCAGCCCACCTGAGACAGGTTCTTGTAAAGGAGAAGGAGCCAACTCAGGCCCAGGTGGAAGTAATTAAATCCCATGGTGGCTGGTTGGCAGATAATTAGCTAATGAGTCTGATAATGGATTACCAGGGCTCAGCTGGAATGGTTCTCAGACACAGGAAGCTCCTGGGGAGAGGAGCTCGCAGGAGAGGCCTGGAGCAAGAGGCCTGGAAGCTGTGCTCCTTCAAACTGTGGCAGGAAGCCCGCTTGGTCTGTCAGGAACTATATGCTGCCCCAGAGGAGCTGCAGCTAACCAATCTCTACAGGCCTCTGGCTCCAGAGAAGGATTCTTCCCGGTTAATGATAATAGGCATGACTCCAGAGTAGGGGGATGCAAGCCAAGAGAACCCTGCTGGAGCTGGGTGGGAATGGATAAACTAAGACTGATTCTGTCTCCCAGCTAAGATGCTGGGGTGAAGACTTGCTTGTATTTTCATTGTGTCTTTTTGGTTAATAAACTAGACCCCTCGGAATGAGCATTGTTCCTTATATAGTGTTAGTGAACTTATTGATGATATTAGGGGAAATCCAGGCAAACAGCATTTATAGTGCCACACTTGGCCAGAAGGGGGTGCTATAGGGCAGGTACATCCTGGGGCAGATCCCATTTGATATTGGGGTACCATTGTGCTGGGCACTGTTCAAACACATAGTAAGGGACAGTCTCGGTCCTGCAGGATTTACAATCTGAATAGACAAAACAAAAGGTCAGAAAGGAAATTAGTATTGTTCCCATTTTAACTGAGGCATCTTTGTCCAGGGTTATACACAAGAAGCCTATAGGAGAGCTGGGCATGGAAGCCTGAGTCCCAGTCCAATGCCTTAACCACAACACCATCCTTCTTGTCATATCAGGAAATCCTGATTCTAAATGTCGAAGAAGTTCATGTTGCTACGACTGGGTAATAGGTTTGGCTTTCGGGAATAGTCTCATTCAATTGGGCCTTAAAATTCTCTGTCATCGGGGAATGATCTTGTCCTTCCACAGGTCTGTCAAGTGCTGTATACACCAATGGTAAAATGTCAATATGGAACAGCATTTCCTGATCACTTAGTGAATATCTTTTTGCCCTTTTAGGTAAAGAAGCACCTACAAGACTTATCAAGTAGACTCTCAAGAGGTCTTCAACACAACGAACTCTGAACGTATTTTCCATGTTGTGAGATCAATATACCCAATAGATCACTTTTCCTGGGACTTATCGAATACCTAGAGAAGCAGATAATTAAATATATTAAGCACCCAACAGGATTGTCCTTTGTAAGGAATATGTTTTCAGTGCTTTTACATTTTAGTCACTGAACTGATACTGTGAGAGTCAAATTAAATGAACCAGTTATAAATATACATTTAATTTGCATATCTTTTATCATTTAAACTTTGCATCCTGCATCACATCAGCCTTTCAAATAATCATTCAAAAAAAACAGTAGGGACTATATGTGAGAGCTCCGCTGTTTTTACTATTGGGGAAACTACAA